ACATCTCCTTCCTCAAGTCCTGCCGAAATCTGTTTTCAATAGCATGGCCAAGGTGAGTCCTCATTTACAGTATTGTAGAAAATACCCACTGTAATGGCATTTTCAGACCCGTTTGGATTTCCTCTATGTTGTATGCAGGGCCTTGTGTTTTCTATGATTCCATCTAGGTTTTATGGTCGTGAAGATAAGATTTCTGGATGTGAACTGATACAGTGTTATGTACTGGGACAGCAAACAACTGAAAGCTTTAGATTGGGAGTAACTGGCCCCATTTGTCTACATGGTGCATGAACACTGAAACCTAATGCTGACAATTTAAATGTTTACTGTTTCTCTGCTATCATTTCAGCAGAAATATCCTGCTAATGAGCTTAGCCATTCCTTATTTTTCAAATAAGGTAAAATTAATTAAACTGATTCTACTGATGCTGTGATTGTTAAACAAATATAAACTTTTTCTTACTTAATTATTATTAATTATTTGTATTACCGTAGCGCCAAGAGCCCTAGTCATAGACCAGGATCTCATTGTGCTAGGAAAAGTACAAACTTCTTTGTATTGACTGTCAAGCGTTAAACAAATAACTCATTTACTTATATTTTTTTAGATACTGCTGCTGGTTCGAAATCTAAAAGACACCGCTGTATCTTACTTCCATTTTTACAACAATATACCTACACTTCCCTCCTTCGGCTCATGGGATGAGTATTTTACAGCTTTTATGCATGGAAAATGTACACACTGTTTTTCTGTTTTTTAGCTATTCTGATTAATTAATGGATTGACAAAACTGGGCACTGGGATTCAGGAAGACGTAGGGCAGATTCTGATCTCAGTTGTAATGTTATAATTCAGGAAGAACTTCATGGTCTTAGAGTTATTCTAGATTTATAAATGATGTAACTGAAATCAGCCTGTGACCTCTGAAATCAAGAGAATTCATTTGCTGACACAGATTCCCTCTGTGACCTTGAGTAAGTCATGTAAGCTCTTACGGCTTGACCACCATTACCCTGAACTTTATATAGTCTGAAACACAGATTTAGGAAATTAAATATGGGTTATAGTACCGACTATGCTAATACAGTACTTATTAAAATAGTGTGACAGGGTAAGGCCAAATGGCTATAGGAAAGTAATGAGAAACAGGTATGTTAGCCCCAGGCTAAACAAATCCCTGTTACCAGGGTAACTAAATGGCAGTTGCTCCAGGTTAATCAAGACACCTGAGGCCAATTAAGATCTTTCCAGAAGGCAGGGAGGACCCTTGGCACGATCAAGAGGCATGCTTAGTCACTCGGGAGACCCTTCCCCAGGAAGATAACTTACATGAGCAAGTGAGGATATCACCGAACTTGACGCCGATCCAAAAGATTGAGGCAACCGATGTGATTAATCGTGACCGAGATGTGTTCTCTACAAAACCGGGGCGGACAACTGAGACCTATCACCATATCTGCACGATCACTGGAGCCAAGGTAACATTGAGACCCTACCGTATCTCAGCAGCCAAAAGAGAAGAAATCAAGGCCGAAGTAAAGAAAATGTTGGAATTAGGGGTTATTGAAGAATCGTACAGTCACTGGTCCAGTCCAATCATTCTAGTGCCTAAATCTGACGGTACTACGAGATTCTGTAATGACTTTTGCCAACTGAATGAAATATCCCAATTCAATGCATATCCCATATCACGCATCGACGAACTGGTTGATCGACTGGGTAGTGCCCAATTCTTGACTAACTAGATCTGACAAAAGGGTATCGGCAGATTCCCCTGACTAAAGAAGCTAAAGGAAAGACAGTGTTCTCCACCCCGGATGGGCTATTCGAGTACACCGTCCTCCCTTTCGGGTTACATGAGACCCCGACCACATTCCAGCACCTCATGGATAAGCAGCTGTGCCCCCATACTAGTTATGCAGCTGCGTACCTAGATGATGTCGTCATCCATACGCCAGACTGGGGAACCCACTTGGAGAAAGTTGAGGCAGTACCGCGCACCATAAGGCGGGCTGGCCTCACCGCTAATCAGGGCTGGCTCTAGGTTTTTTGCCGCCCCAAGCAAAAAAATGTTTGGCTGCCCCTCACCCCAGCCCTGGGCTACCCCCCGCATCTCCCTGATGCCCCAGCTCTGGGCCTCCCCCCCCCGAACCCACTGCTGCCCCAGCCCTGGGCTCTCCCCCCACCTGCGCCCCCTGCCACTCCAGCCCCGGGCTCTCCCCCCGCACCTGCTCCCCCACCAGTGCCCCCCCACCCACAAACCCCGCCCTAGCCCTAGGCTCTCCTCCCTCCACCTGCACCCCCTGCCACCTGAGCCCTGGGCTCTCCCCCGCCAACTGTACCCTCCTGGTACCTGGTCACTGGTAACTCGCTCCCAGGGCGGGTCATTGAGCAGGAATTTTAGATGTGCACAGAACACAGACAGGATTGGTTCCCATATGGTTACAGAACTCTAGTAAAGTGGAACAGTTTTCAGCTTGTGTGATCGGAGGATAGCTGGATGCATATTATAAGACTGTCCTCCATAAATGAGGAAAAGTTAAGGTGCCTTTATTATTCTTTTGTTCCACTCTTTGTTTCTATGGGGAATTTGCCAATGCAATATCACTGTCTTCCTTTTAAACAAATAAAACTAAAAAAAAAAAAAAAAAGGGCAATGGCTGTTGAAAATAGCCATTCCAGTCCTAATAACCCCTGGGGAGCATTTCTTGCTCAATTTTATCCTACCTTTTCTACAGCAAGTTACAGTGGATCAGTATATTTGATTTGGGAGAAATGAAGTAACAGCTGCCCGAATTGAGCTTGAGCACTCCTGAATTTTGAGGTGTTCAAATCTGGAGGGTAGGTGCTAGATTCCCTTTCTGAATATTAGCTAAATCTGGAAAGGAAAAGTCAATTTCTGCTTCCATGGCTCAGACGTGGAAATCCTCCTACGTGCCTGGTTCTGTATCTAAAGCTGCCCAGGTCCAGAGCCTCCCCTCCCTTACTTTTCATTTTAAATTCTAGTGGGATCCACGTACCTCCCTTGCTAGGCTTCAGATAGAGAGGGGCACTGTCCATTTAGTCCATCCAATTTTTCTTTGGGGGCTGCAAGGTGAGGTCACACCAGTATCCCTAATTCAGTCTGGGGATGTCTTCAGAAGGGAATAGCTGGGCCAAAGCCTTCTACTCCTTAGGCACACTTGTTCCCAGGGCCACCCCGCTCTAGCAGTGAGCTCTCCATTCACAGCAAGCTGTAGCATGAGGTTTCAGCTACCTCACTTCCTCCCCCTCCCTTTCCTGTTGATAGTGGCCAAGGGAATGCTGGGAAATGTAGTTCTTTCCCTGCTCCAGGGCTGACTCTATAGGCAGGGAACTAACCAAGGAACTACAGCTCCCAGGGCCCCGTTGGTTCTCAGCTCCCATGCTGGATCCCTGCCGTCCCTGCAAATGGGCTGCCCCAAGCACCTGCTTGCTTTGCTGGTGCCTAGAGCCGCCCCTGCCGCTAATCCTGCTAAATGTGCCATAGGGCTAGCAGATATATTGTAGGAAGGGGCATAGTGAAGCCCCAAACGAATAAGCGAGAGGCGATTCAAAGCTGGCCCCGGCCAGCCCGAAAGAAGCAGGCCCGTGCGTTCCTAGGCATGGTAGGCTATTACAGACGTTTTATTCCCCACTTCACCACTAGGACAAGTCCCCTAACGGACCTGGTGAAGGCCCAAGGTCCAGACATGGTGAAGTGGACCGATGCAGCAGAGGGGGCATTCATAGACCTTTGGACGGCCCTCTGTAATGACCCCATACTCATAGCCCTGGACTTTAACAAGGAATTTA